TATTAATTTGGGTAAAAAAACATTTAAAATTCTGACTTTAATCTCAGAATTCTGACGTTTACCTCAGTATCTGACTTTGATAACAGAATTTTAGATCTTAATGTAGTTTGGCACCATCAAGGAAGAGATGTGGGAGCACTCAGCTTCACTAACAAAGATGTGAGTTGAGATGTAAGTAAGAATTCTGACTTTCTTCTCAGAATTCTTAGAAAAAAGTCAGAATAAAAAAAAAATAAAGCAGAAATCTGACTTTTTTCTTCCAATTCTGACTTTAATCTCAGAAAAATGACTTTTTCTCAGAATTTTAGATCTTAATGTAGCTTGGCACCATGAAGGAAGAGATGTGGGGGCAATCAGCTTCACTAACAAAGATGTGAGTTGAGATTAAACTCAGAATTCTCAGAAAAAAAATCTGAATTCTGATATTAAAGCCAGAATTCTGACTTTTTCCCATATTAGACTGAAATAATAATTAAAAATCAGTTTACTTTTTTTATTCTTCAGTGGTCCTAATCCTCTTCCATAGTATTTTATTAATATTAAGGTAGAAAAAAAATTATTTCCAACGAATAAGCAATAAAAAAAAAAGATAATTAGGGTAAATGAAATATTTTTAAAAATCTGGCTAAATGAGTCTGAGAGTTTAACCCTTTCCTCACTCACAGTAGTGAGATGGAAATCTTGTCCGTTTCACTACACTGCATCTCAGACGCATATCAGAATTGGGTAAAATCTATTTAATTATCAGCATTTTTCCTCAAGAGCATAATCCAATTTGATGGCTGTTAGGTTTTATAAAAGTGAAGTGAGCGGAAAATTCCTTCTTCCACAACTCTCCAATAAGTAATTCATCTTTCATCATCACACTTCAAGCCTAATTATGGCTTCACCATTTTTGCTAAAAATTGGATGTTTAAATTAATATTTAATAAATATTAATATTGATAAAACATTATCTAAAGTTAAGACTTATTATATATAACATTTCCAAGTCTTTCTAAATATAAACAATTACATTTTAAAGTAGTGAATAACTAATATCCCTCAAAAGATTTCATAAAAGAAATATTGAAACTTGATGATGATAATGGCGGTTTCTGTAAGACACATCTGGAAACACCTATTCATTTGTTTAACACATAACACATAAGTTAAACATTTATGAAGATTACTTTACAAATTCTTGTCTTTCAAATTCATTAATGTAGTTTTTTTTTTCTAATTCTAGGATATACAGATCGGATCATTCCACATACATATTATGGAAATGATGGTCAAATTTTTACTGGAAAATCGTACATAAAAAATTTGGTAAAATGTCCTTCTCCTGCTCTCAAAAATTTGCTATTTTTTGGCGTTATTAAGAAAGATCTAAAATAATAGAGCAATAAAATTGAACAAGATGTCCGAAAAGTTTCTGTCTTTAACCCCTGAGGATTTTGATTTCTACTTTTTCTTATATACTATAATGTTTTCAATCATTTTCCCTGTTTTATTGGGCTCCTCCTTCATGTGGAAACTATTTGCATGCAGTTTTTTATTACATATATTCTATAGAGCCTTTTATAAGAGCTCAGGTTGTTGTACTTGTAATTTAATTTGTTCAATAAAAAAAAAAAGGATCTCTAATAAGTCACATTTTAGAATTTTTTTTTTCTGGTTCTACAGATTTGCCCTTTCATATGAGCGTAGGGAAGACCCTATGGTTTTGGAGGCTTTTTACAGCATTTTATAGTCTGCTGTTAGAATAAACTCGATTAAAAATGTTGAGCAAATAAGTGTTTTTTTTTTAAACTTCCAAATTATTTAATTTATTAAAGCAATGGTATGTACTTTTAGCCACTAGGGGCACAAAACCTGTACCTTCCAGGTGTAGCAAATCTGAAAGCAGTGACTGCACTGTCTCAAAATTAAACAAGCTTTCTCCATCCTTTGGAATTGGAGAGCAAGCAATTCTGTGGACTAATACTGTTTCCTTGTCTTTATTTGTATATTGATGTTCAAAATAAAGGCTTCAAAAAATTTGATAGCACACAACTTTAGACCAGCAGATTGACAAGTCTTTGAGTTCCTTGAAGAGATAAGGGCACATTCATCCCACTATAACACAAAAAAAGTGTTATACCAGAGAGCCAAACATATATTTGATCATTCAAATGTAATATTTGTTTTGTTTCCTAACAAAAACTTGTAGCTTAGGTAGCACTCATGTTTAACGGGATGTTAGACTTCCGTAAAGCGGTGCTCAAGCTTACATGACCCATTAAGACAGGGTCGGATCAGTGTCTGAAGTATTTAAGAGCAGCCAGCAATAAGCATTGATATGCGCAAAGTGCTGAATAATGACCTGAAAAATTATTTGATACATATTAAATTGGGCTAATACTTGCTCTAAGGGAGAAAAATATCCAAACAACACGGTATCTGGTTGAATTTCACTTACCAAAGTCTTAGCTTTTATGTCTGTCCTTTACAACAGTGACAAGAAAAATATTTTAAATCAGAATACAGAAAAATTAAAAAAAGTTATATAAAAGAAGGCAACAACATGGAAGTTTGCAAAATATTACACCAGATTTAAAGACAATAGACAAAAATGTATACACTTGTAAAATGTCTTTTAATAGGGTGGATTATTGCAAAAACAACAAAAAAAGTTAAAATAACATCTTGTTTACCAAAAAAAATATCTAAATTCATCATATGCAGTAACACATAATTTAAGAAGACCCCCATCTAAAACAAAACATTGATTTAAAAAATGAAAATAAATAACCTTTGTTTAAAGATCAGTCAAAAATATTGCTACAAATTTGCAAATATTTAAATTTTATAGTTTTAAATATTCTGCTTTGAATGAAATTCCACATATTCTTCTAATCCGACAATACAAAATATGAAAACGTTAAGCAATGCTCTGAGAATAATTTAGGTTTTTACTGAGTACATTATTTTTGTCTATTCAAACAAGAAAAGGTGAACCAATTCAATGCTATATTTTTTTCTAGTTGTCTGACAAGTATACATTTTGCTTACAGCTGAAATAGCTTTTCTTATAGTTAAATATATTTCTATTAAAACTTTACATGACTCAACGTAAAGTGACTTTCAATCAATCTTGCAAAATAAATTATTTCAAGCGGAGTTCTCAATGCCTTCCTGCTCTTCAAAAAAGTGCTCCTTCAAATTATACAATTATATAGTATCATTATACATTATATACATTTTGAATAAGTTACATAATGCACAAGTAAAAGGGTATAGTATCTACTAGGTACATTTAGTACAAAGGTTCCTAACAGTATGGCTTTGAAATTTACATTACAACAATTTCAGCAGTAAAAGTATTTACTCTCTGTAAGCATTTTTAATAATATGTCATTATAAGTTTAAGTATAACTGCAATAAATATATTTTTAGACATAAAAAACATTTAAACACAACAGGAAAACATCTGACTCTTTCAGATAACTCAAAAACAGTAAGATGTCTAAAGACAGACTTCTACTGACTGCATAGGCCATACTATAAAGCATTGGAAATAGCCTCTACTTGCTTAGCAGCGTTTTAAGGGAGCGGGTGAGTGCGTTAGCAATAGCTGACATGGTACTGGAGTGGCGAACCAGGGCATTAACACTGTGCTCCCCTGGAGCCCCAACAGTTGCAGCTTCGGCTGCTTTGAGCAAACAAATATAGTTCATAACAACCTCATCAACTTTTGCTACAACTTCTCTTTGCTGCTGTGATGCCAAGGCTCCGAGTCCCCTAACTAGACACATACAAGCTTCACACAGACAGCATAGCACCTGAAAGCTACATGTAACAGCTAGCAGCATTTCATCAGGACTACTATGGGCTTGTGCCATTTTCCGGCAAGCCCGGCCTAACTCTTTTGACTCAACAGAAAGAAGCTGCTTGTACTGGGAAACATCTTGTATAGGCATCTGGACGCCACGGTCACAACGACCTACACTGGATCTCACCAGTGCAATGAGCTCATTGGCATCTCGACGGACGTCGTTAAAGCCACATGGAAAGCTGTACATGCGGTCCTTGAGAGAATTGATTCTTGCCAAACGGTCACTAAAGCTCATATTATCAAGCACCTCTCCATATAGCTGCTCATCCATCGATGATCCATAGGGGGTTATAGCTGATGCAACAGCACCATTATTGTCAAAATTACCCCCAACACGACTTCTTCTAGGCCTGTCCCACTCAATTTCATCATCTTCTCCCTCAGTCTTACGTTTAAAGAAACAGTAACTGAAGGGGCCGTTGCATCTCCAGGGACTGGTGTCCAGTTTTTGAGAGCCCTTTGTATGTTTAGAGTCTTTTTGTAATGGAAATGCAACAGATGACCTTCTACTGTCTACCCCGCTGCCTGTAGACCAACATGTTGCATGTGAGGATACAGATCCTTGTGAATAGCTCTTGGATAGCCTTTTTCTAGCTTGTCTACGTTGGACTTTGCTCTCACTTTGTTGAGACATAGGTGCTGACAAGGGCTGCTGGCTGCGGCTTCGTATGGGCTTATCAAATAAAGCCTCAACACTTCCAGAACTAGCAGTCACATTGCTTGAGCTGCGCTTGAGATCTCTTCCTCGTTGCATGCTACTGCTTAAGGGTTCCGTCTGGGACAGGGTTGGAGCAACAGACTGAATATGGTTCTGATTCTGCCGCAACTGGATGGAATGAAGTGAATCTTGTGGACATCCTGAGTTGCTAGCGCTAGAGTTCACTTGCACTGGGAGAGATGAAGGAAGGGGTGGTGGCAGAGGTGGTGGAGGAGGAGGTGGAGATTGTGGTGTTGGAGATGATATGGTTGTTCTAGTCCGACTAGATGTCTGTCGAATGAAAGCTGATGGATAATCGCCACGCCCTAGTGAGAGAGCATTTAGCTCTGCACGTTGACCACTCAAACTGGGTGCAGTTGAACAAGAAAAAGAGTCATTAGGTTTTTGAGGAGAATAAAAACCTGCATGTTTTGACCTCGAGTCTGGTTTGAACCAGTCTTCTGTGGTGCCACTTGGTTGGCTTCTTGAACGAGGTGGAGGGCGATTATTGTTACCTCCAAAATCACGATTTCGATTTTGATTTGAAGCCCCATCACGGTTCATATGCTCTTGTTTTTTACATTGAGAGAGAAAATGTTCTGGATCAATATCCTCCCTGCCCAGCTCACTTTCCAGACCAGAAAAGGAGCTCCTTCTTTCAGTTGGAGCTCTCCTGAAGTCCAAACTATCATTCAGTCTTTGTACATGCATATCAGGGCTTCTCTTCAGTTTGGCAGGAAGTGTGGCTGAAAGGTAGGACCTTGCATCTTTATTTGCTAATTGCATTGTTGCTGAATGAGAAGTTGCAGTATTAGGGCTGAGAAATGGGGATGAGAGAGAGGAAGGCATACATGGACAGCGAGCAGTGGTACTACCTCTACCCTTAACCATTTCAATTAACTGAGGGTTGCTTGTAATAAAACGTCTGCTGTCTTTTTTAACTGCACCTCCCATACCCGCACTATGTAATTTACCCCCCTGATGCATTTGACTTACTGTGAGATAGTTTATCAGTTGTCTGTAGGCCTCACTGCCTTCCTTTGGGTTAAGGCCCTTAAAGCTAGGTTGCTGTTTAACGTGGATTTCGTTTGGATGCTTCTTATTTCCTGTTATCTCCTTGTGTTTGGAAGGAGTTGCTGAGGAAGGTCGACTTGTTTCCCCCCCAGCAAGTGGGGGATGGATGTTGGGCAGCATTTTTCGAAGGAGGTTGGGGTCTGCATGAGGATGAGGGTCTTTGCTTTGAGTGTTTTGGCTTTGGAATCCTACTGGGAGTCCAGAATTGCTGTCTTCGTTGTTTAGCACTCTAAGCAGGGAAGAGGAAGAGCTCGAAAGATGGTGCTTTTGCAAGCGATTGTGCTTGGACTCAATTGCACCGGGGCCAAGGGGGGAGTCATTTGGTGTTGCACAGGCACTGCTATTTGTGCTGCCACCTGCATCAAGTGATGAGCACAAGGAGCCCTGAAGTGAACTGTGAGCTTCCCCTTGCAAATTTGAAATCCTTTTTGCCAGGTGGTACTCACACAACCGTGCAACACTCTGTTGTCTTGAAATTGGCTGATGGTCACTTTGTGTATCCGATCCTTGTTCAGAACCTCCTGATCTGGATTGCTTGCTCGGTGACAGCAAGGATGCTACAACCAAGTGTTCATCCTGCTCAGTGGTCGTAGTTCCGTTGCCTGCATCACAACCGCCCATGTTAACAACCTCTAAGAACCGATCAGAAACAGCCGAAGATGGGCGAAGATTATTTCGAGGGTCTCGAGCCGGGCTTGTCGCTACAGTGCCCTCGGTTACAGAGGACGAGGTGAAAAAGGAATTCTGTCCCCTCTGACCTTCTTCTTGCTCAATAAATGAAGTGCGTTGGTTTAAATCAAGATAGCTGCGCCTGCTATTAATCTCACTTCGAAAACCTTCCCTGGTACTGAAGGTGTTGTACTTTCCACTGGAGTGTGCTGATTTTTTCTGGTGTTTACCTCCTGGTGTTGTTGAACTGGGACGCTGGAGAGTAACCGAGAGAGTATTTTGGGATTTCACCTCCAATCTGTCCAACCCCGATGATGTTAGGTCCAGCTGGGGGCTACGTCTTGGAGGAACTGCTGGAGGCTGAAGGTGTCGTGTCGGGCTGCGGGGTTTCTTTTCTACATTGGCGCATGAATTAGGTGAGACTGGAAATTCAGTTTTCTCTTCAAGTAAAGGTTGGTATCCTTCTGTTGTGGCTACAAGCAAACGCATGTGGCTCTCATTAAGTCTATGAGTAGCGGCTAGTTCAGAGATTTCAGTCATCTCAGAAGAGTTGGTCTCATTGCCAGAATCTGATGAGGACTCTGGGCTAAATCCTTGAGATGTGCACATACCTGAGAAAAACAAAAAAATAAATATGAACCACATAACCAACATTTAACCAGTATACAATTAAATCTCTAAATACCAACAAATCTCAATACATATTTTTCTAGAATCTGAATAAGCCTCCTCTCATGCTTATCCTTTCCTCTTATGCTATTCATTTGTATAAATCTGTGTGTTTATCAGTTTTGTTGGATAAACAAGCAAACAGATGTAGGACGTTCTGTTAATTTTAAATTTTCTAATTGGAAAAACATTATGGGTGAGGATTTATCATATGGTTTATCGTTATAGTGATGTCAGTATTTCTGGCCATGTTGGGAATTATAATGTATTCTCTAAATGACAGATTATAATTAATTATGCTTAAAAAATGGGTGAATTGTTTGATTTTTGTTTTATTTTACCTTTTTCTGCTTTTTTTATTTTTACTGAGAGACATGTGAATTAAAAAGATATTATTAAATGTGGATACTGTAAAAGTCATATTCCTTTATGTAACCAGTGTCCTGGAGAAGCGTAGAATTGATATGTTTTCCAAAAGCAGCATTTGCAATTGTTGGACTATGAAGGTATTGGCATGGAGTCACAGCCATACAGTAACTCAAAAAACAGACTACAAAGAAGTACTGAAGAGTCGTTCTTTTATCCTAATTTTTAACGTTATAATGACAGTACCACAAAATATTGTGATACGATTTTAAGTCCATATTGCCCAACCCTAACAAAACAGGAAATTTTCAAGCTACAAATTGTTCAGATTCAGTTTGCATTCAGAGGTTCCACTGTGTTAAAAAACATTATGTAATGTTTTAACTGGAGGACAAAAAACATGTAGAATGTAAAATTTTGTATGAGTTATTCTGTCAAAGTTGTTCACTACAACTTAGTGAAACTGTCAAGCCAATTGCTTTTGCCTTTCTCACACTTAAACTTTTACAATTTGAAGTTATTTTTTAAAACTAAATATTGAGTCCAACTAATTAGGCGTAAGACACAAGCTTCAGCAACTGCTGGTGGATCAGTAAATATTTGTGTGAAAATTATTTATCCTTGACAGCTGACCTAGTTGTTAATTTCACTCACCTGCCTAACCCTCCCCTGTTACTAATTATCATTGATCTTATCCACCTGTTCGTGCTGCTCTATATACGGCTCAGCCCAGCTATCGGGACTAGATCATTGATTGTTTATTTGTTTGAGTTTCAGTTTCAGTTGGAGATCATGACTGATTTTCAGAGTTCATATTCTCTTTCTCAGAGGCCAGTGGTTAGCCAGGGTTTTTTGACTTGTCTTAGTAGTTCCTGATCATGTCTCTTATCCACTGTGCGTGCCCTGTTCCTGTTTTGGCTCAGTGAAGGGAGCTAGTTTAAAGTTCCATAGTCCTGGTGCCTAACCACTGAGTGTGCCCTGTTCCTGTTTTGGCTCGACAGAGGGAGCTAGTTTAAAGTCCCATAGTCCTGGCTCTTGCCCACTCAGCGTGCCCTGTTCCTGTTTTGGCTCAGTGGAGGGAGCCAGTTTAAAGTTCTGTGGTTTTCCTGATGTCGTGTCTTCTCCTGCCTCTCAACTACTGACTTAGACTTTATAGTCATTTTTTACACACAGAGTATACAAAATGGAATTTCTTTTAGTACAGCTCTCAAGGCATTTCTAAAGTGCCGCAGTGATAAAATGTAAACATGGTTCTGTACAGGGTTCTGTACACAAAGATTGTGCCTGCCTGTCAGCATCCGAACGTTTCTGCCTGAACTCTCTGTTGGAGTCTTGGAATCTTGAACCTGACTGAACTTTCTCTGGACTCATGGAACATCGGATCTGCCTGCTCCAGTTCTGATCGGAGACCCTGACCAGGCAACGGGCCCCTGGAGCTCAGAACCGTCCTGTTCTTAACTGTTTCCTTGACCTGGCTCAGACTCCCCCCAGTTCATTGGGGCTGCAGCATCTGATACAGTCTGGGTGTCTCTCGCTGCACCTCGTTTGGCCATCGGCTGGATCCTGCCTTGCCTCCGACAGAACGGACTGAACTATTGAACCAGATAAGTGACTCACATGGATGATCATCTTCTGTCAGATTATCGTGGTCAATTACCTGTGTCTATCTCGCCTTGAATATTGGGTCTTGCATTCTAAGCTCATAACAATATCTTGACATAATGAAATTGGTCTGGATCACTCATCTCAACATTGCAAATAAAGGGTCCATTATGTTGAAGATCAACTTTGAACTGGCACCAAAAAGCATGATCACATTACTCCTATCCTGTCCCTTCTTTTCCCAATTCCAATCTGTTTCTGGACTGATTACTGAATTTGTATGCAATACTTTTTGCAGTTGTAAGTGGTTTGGTCATAATAATCTTTAACAGATCTTCTTAACATTTGCACACCATTCAGCAAGCCACTTTCTCTTAAATATTACAAGATTCAGATTGAAATATAAAGAACCAGAACTTTGCTGTAGCTGCAAAGAAATTGTGGAAAATCTTTTTGATTCATGGAAGATTTTTTCTCTATTTCTTTGCCTAGCTTGCCTTTACAAATGAATTTGACATTGACTTACAAGGAAGGATGAAATACTTTTCAGATGTATTTTTTTAGGAAAACATATATTCCTGCTGAAGTCTGTGGACCACCATTAACACATCCATTTATTTTGCTTCTCTGACCAAAAGCCTCTATTATGGAGTAGTTGTAGTACAACACAACGTTTTCAGAAATTATGGCAAAACAATGTTGTCAAGTAACATTTTAAATGCAGCAAAATATTATACAGTGTTTGGGAAAGTCTAAATGACAAAGAATACTGAATACTGTTTGACTGAAAAACTTAAAAGTAAATAACTGTGTAATCCACAATGAACAAACATTGATGTAAATTTAAAAGTGTCTCACAGACCTGTGTTGTTACTTCTGGGTGGTGGGCGATGAGGTCTCCGCTCAGAGACTGATAGGTCCGCCAGTGCTTGTAGCGAATTCACAACAGCATTTTCTAACCTACTCTGCCCTCCTCTGCTTCCTTCTTCCTCCCCATGTGTTGGAACGGCATCGATTAGCGATACAGGGATGTCATCATTACTACATGTGCTTAGAGGCCGTCCCTCTGGGGCTGTGTCCTCATCTATGCTGTCCCGAAAGCCTGGTGGTGGCGCTGCGATTGCAAGGTTCAGGGTCTGCAACAGGGAGTCGTCCTCATCGTCGTTGACCCCGTCGTCTCCTTCGGGAGGTGGCAGTGATGTGAGGTCGATGATATCATCCGTGGACCCAGAGAGGGTAAGAAAAGTGGCTTTGCCAGCTGCTGTGGGCAACCGTGCTCCTTGGCTGTCACAGTTCAGTCCACCTTCCCTGTTATCACCAACTGGGGTCCCCCCTGTGGAGTCTTCCTCACAGGAAGCATCCTCATCATCCTCTGCATCGTCTGTTGCGTCTCGATTAAACAGCTCCCTAAGCACAGGCTCCTCACCACCTTCCTCCGTTATAATGTTGCTATAGATGTGCGTTAGCTCACTGAACTGGAAGAGCTCAGAGGACTCAGGGCTCTCTGGCAGTGCTTCATAGTTCCTTGCTCTGTTCAACGGTGGGTTACCTCCAAAAATAAATGAAACTTTGGCACTCCGAGGAGAGTCCTGAGTTTTGTGCCTGGTTGCAGGGGGAAGAGGAGGGGGAACCGGACTTCTTCTCTTCCCTAGGTCGCTATCAAGATTTTGGGGCTCATTAAAGTAAGGAGAAATGCTGTTCTCCCTCTGCCCATTGTCTGAATAGTTCCTGTTATAGACAGACCCCTGTGCTGGCTCTTCATTTTCCCCAAAAGATGTGCTGTATGGCCACTCAAGGACACGATCCTGACCTGCAGCAAGCAAGGGAATATTACTTTTTCTGTTTCATATTTCATTTTGATTAATCTTTAAAGTAGCTGGCCTGTTGCTGCTTTACTTCAGGATATTTAAGGTCGAATGCCTCCCAGTAGACCATAAATTCTTAAGTCATTTAAATTTAGTTTACAGGGTTTTTTTCTCAGACCAAAACATCAAGAGTTGTTAATAATTGCCTTTTAAAATTGGCCATCTGAACATAATGTTCATAGTAAAATTCAAAAGATTTGTGGAATTATTCTCAGTATATCGAGTTTTCATACAGCAGTGATATATCTGCAAAAGTAATTAATATATTGATGACTCACCAGTGTCATCCTCTGCTATGTTATTGCAGTTGGCCATGTTGAAAATAGATCTACGGGAATCCACTAGGAGGCGGTAGTAGCCAGCTGTTAGGCAAGCAAGGTTCATTGCATCACTTGACTCCATGATTAGTGTGATGGGCTGAGAAAACAAGGGGATAGACAAGAGCTTATGTATTAAATTATGAACAAAATAGAAGATATAGTAAGGTACTCATGTACAACAGCATGTTTTCCAGGTTTCTGTTTTCAAAGACCACCTACTTACCCTAACATCCAGGACATGAAGTTCCAGCCGGACGTTCATCTCATCCTCAGTAAGAATCTCAATGCGGTTAACGTGGCTGAAATCGGCCAACAGGGCTACAAGGTTGGTCCGGGCATTAATTACATGACTGATTCCATATCGCGGGCCCACTAACAGCATCACCTCTGTCTGTTTCTCTCCCTGCTGCAGCCAGAAGGACAGAAAGCAATATAAAAGAGGCTGCAAAAAACAAATCCCTAAGACAGAGTTTGACAAATGTCTCACCAAAAGTATCGATTTAAACTCTCTTCCTCCATATAGTTTCAGCTCACTGATGTACCTCAGGTAATGCACCTTGGCCTGCAATGCAGTTAGCTGTAAAGATAGAAGAGAGATACAGAGGTAATTACTCAGAAATTAAATCACTTCAATCTGAGCAGACGCATTAGAGGCTTCTAGAGGATGTAAAGAACGGTCAAGCCATTTTGATTTGGACCACTGCATTTCCATTATACAACATCATATCATTTCAATCTAATCCACTACAGTGCTCTTTATATCTCACTTGCTTTTGGTATAGTTCTCCTTTGAAAGAGGTTCCAAAGCATTTTTCGCTTTACATTTCCCTATGTTTCTAAATTCAGATATTTTTTAATGGAGTGTTATAAATATTGTGGACATTTAAGAGCAAGTGCTTTAATAGATAGCAGTTCACTATAAACTATACATTCAAATCAAAGAACTGTAAGCTAGTACATCCTTGTTATTTTCAACATGTGGTATTGGATGATTTTATTGCTGCTTCAATAAATAAAAATCCTGACTTAGCAGATTTTAGTACAGCTTTTGAAAGTAACATCAAGAACCATTTATGGTTTAACCCTTATCTTAAAGCAGTGACAGCAAAAAGTAACAAAATAGTTCTTTGTATTGGGTTAGTGAGGAAATGATGTAAACTTTTAAAATCAAATGGTGCCCTGGCAAATCAAAGATAAAGAAGTCTGCAAAACCCAAAATATGGTTCATTCCACAGGGTTCTTGGACTTTTTTTTTACAGAAAGCGTTGATAAACTCAACCCCACTATACTCAAGATAAAATACTAATGTTCTATAAAAAAGCAGGGAAGGAGAGAAGAAAGGAAAGAAGAGAGGTGGACTACACAATGATGGATGTAAGGACAGGAGGTTGGAAAGAAAGAACAGAGGTCCAAAACAGGGAAAGATTAAATAACAAAGGAAGAAGACTGGGGTCCTACACAAAGAAAATGGCACATTAAAAGGAGACACGAGGTAAAGAAGGGTTATAGGACACAAGGGGTCAGATGGAATGAGATGAGATAAGGTGGTAGGAAACTGAATACAAAGATGGGATGAAAGAAAGAAAGAAAGAAGAGTAGAAACATGGAGTTTGGAGGGAGTGAGGAATTCAACAGGAGGTAAAGACGCAAAGAAGGAAGGGCAGATGGAGAAAAAATGAAAATATTATATAAGTCTGGAAACTTAAAATGATTTTTAAATTGGGATGATCTTTTTCCACACCTTCCCAGACTGTGTGGGAAACCGGTTGAGTCACAAAATGTTTGTAAATTTGCACATTTATTGTTCCGATATCAACACTAGCAATTACATAATTCTTCTCAAAACAGCTCTTCGGTTTTGTTTACAGGGTTTCCAACAATAAGAGTGCGTTGAAAAAAATCTGGCAGTTGTTGAAAACTAATGCTCTGAGTCTTTATATACATGGTACAAGATGATATATTTCTACTTTAAGGGTTCTTGAAGTGTGCAATGCATGTGTTGTAAAGTATCAAGAAGATAATCCTGGTTGTTGCCTGTGTCAGGTTAATATGTTAGAAAACTAATTTGACTCAGATGAGATGTTCAGATTTGACTGATTGTCTTTTTGCATCAAGGATCCCAATAAATGTATATTTCAGCATCCATCCGACTCCGACTTTCAGTGTTGTTGTGTCCTTGGGCAAGACACTTCAACTGCATTTTCTACTGATGGTGGTCAGAGGACCCGGTGGCGCCAGTGTAAGGCAGCCCCGCTTCTGTCAGTGAGCCCCAGGGCATCTGTGGCTACAATGTAGCTTGCCACCATCAGCGTGTGAGTGTGTGCGTGAATGGGTGAATGAATGTAGTGTAAAGCGCTTTGGTCAAGTCTGCAAAATATAAAGGACTTATGATTGTAGGATAGTGGATACAGTCTTTTTAATTATTTCGCTCTACATAATGTTTCCCCTTAATAGGAATATATAAATAGTTTGTAAAAACATTGCTAATCTGTAATCTGCTTTAATAATAATGAAGAAGCAATTTGTAACTCTGATGGCTGTGACAGAAACCTCAAAAGAAACTACATTGATATTATTAATATTGACAGTCTAATATGATATCCTTTGGTCCAGAGGCTTAGTATGGCCATTATATGGCTTAATGTTGGTCTAATGGTGTATATGACAACTACAGAAAGTTAGCAATAGGTATAATTAGCTTTAGTTTGATAGTGCTTCCTTCTCTCTCCTGTAGGGGCTTACTCATTTACAATGCTGTTGGACTCAACAAAAGAAGTGTTAAAATCACTAAAACAATTGGAAACAATGGTGAAAATGGAAAAGAGCCATAAGTAGCTTGTTTTTAGCTTTGATTTCGACTCAATGTCTGTATTCTCATCTGTTGGAGCCTTTGGAATGAAAGCCTGTTACAAGTGCATCCACATAACCAGTTATCATGGAGCTATGAGGCAGGAAAAAAAAGTTATAATTTGATCCTTAACACCTGAGGCAATTGCAAAGTTTAACTGAGTTTTGGCTGTCTGATTTTCACTCCCCAAAGTCACAATGAATGTTGCAGACAGGACCAGCTGGAGTTTGAGAAAGTGCTTGAAAGTTCAGTCCAGGTCACAAAAACCTCCTTCTGACCGGAACATGTGTGAATGAATATCAATACCTCATTATGCAAAGATTCTGACAAAGCATGTTGCTTGTTTTCCACATTAACATTCAAGGTCTAACTTGGTGGAGGGTCTCAGGTTGACAAAGGTGAAAACCTTTGCAAGGATGAGTATGGCAGCCAGGCTATTTTAAGGTATTGCATCAGAAATTAGTTGCTGTGAGATGGCGATCGTATGTGTTGGAAGTCAATAACAAGGGCAAATAAAGACAAAGAGAACTAGTTACTTTTTTCCCCAGAGGCACAAGGTTCTGGTTGGTTTTCAGGATGTGCGTCAGAGCCTTCTTGATGTTTTTCTCCTTCATGCTGGACAGCACAGTTGGAGGCAGGAACAGCGGCAGACCCCACTCCTTTCTGTGGAGAGATTTAGTTTCAGAATAAAGCTGAACTTGAAAACAAAGTTTTCCCCTCAGAGCTACATTAAAACAGTTGTGGTAGACAGCTGTAGAAGGGTTGGTTTTTCATTGCAAACTGACTGTCAGGGAGAGAAAAAGAACACTGAATTGTCTGTCTGCGGAGGAGAGCTTTTTTTTTCTTAGTGTTTTGCCTTTTGGTCACAAAGATAGAAAAAGACATTCTGACACTCATCAGGCTGGCCTTATAACTTAAGAGAGCTTGTATGAAATGTAAAACACACTCTCCCAACTTACTGGATATATTTCAAAGAAACCTTTTGACTCTGTCTGGCCGTCATGGAGAGGATGTACATCTGCAAAGCAGCCAGTCGCAGAGCAGCATCGTACTTAAGCTCTGGGCCGAAGCGCTCCAAGACCACGTCATTACAACACTGCAACAAAATAGGAAGCAAAATGATGCAAGAGTCAGTTTTAGCAGCTCACGACTGCAATTCCCTCTGCAAAACTCCCACTTAAGGGAGATGAATCTTGGCTCTGATTTACACATACTCAAGGTTTACATGTTTTGTTTTGATATGCATTTACCGGTAATCTGATTTTTTTTTTTTTTATATTTTATTGTTTTTTTTTTTGAATATTTTATATGATGGAGATGATCAAAAGATCCATGGTAACTTGGGAGAAGCTGCAAGATTTTCACAGCTGAAGTACAACCATGAGGGGTGCGCTCCATATGTTTTTTTCTATATGAAAAGTTGGCTAAAGGGATTATTTGTTAAAAATGCAAAAAAAAAACAAAAAAAAAAAGCCTTGAATTTAGGCTGACAAATTCTTTACTTTTTGAAAACTGCACATTTGTCAACCTTGCTATCTCTATAGTTATGCTGCTATAGGCTTAAACCGCTGGAGGACAAAGCAACCCTTTTTCATCATTCTGTTTCATTCTCTCTATTCTCCCATTCTGCAGAATTTGTTAGTTCAATCTGTTACGTTATACCGTCTCTGCTTTTTCTCATAGTAGCTTCATCTGGTCTGTTCTGTTTGGCTGTGACAACTTCCTGGAGAAAAATATCAGCAATGCTGCTGCCATCAATTCCTTTGTTTGTGGATGTTGGAGCTTGGCCTGTTTTTCATTGTAGTCCTGTTTCTCTGACTGTGACTAACTGTATATGCTCTCTTTCATCCTCTGACATGGGAGCTGGCTTGGAGCTTGTCTGCATGGTTGTGTTTCCTGGATGGTGCCGCCTGTGGTTGACAGTTGCCTTTTGTATCTCTCCTTTTTTTTTCTATGTCTGCTTCTGTCTCTTTGGACTCTAGTCGGCCTCAGCAGATGGCCGCTCACACGAGTCTGGTTCTGCTGGAGGTTTCTTCCTGTTAAAAGGAAGTTTTACTCTCCACTGCTACAATAATGCTTAGTGTGAAGGATTGCTTTCAAGTCAATGAAAAGTATGATCTGGTTGAATTGTCTCTGTAAAGTGCCTTGATATGACATGAGTTATGAATTGGCGCTATATAAATAGACTTAAATGAAAAGAATAAAAATTTAATTGAAATCCCTTCAAAGCAATACAGCATCCCGTCCTTGAAGGATTTAGAAGCACAGGAAAAAACTTAGCCAGTTCCTCTTGCACTATTGTTAAGGGATGATTACACCTCATTATCAGTTAAAGGAAGTTCTTTAAACAAGATTCAACAACATAATCTGATTCTGTTATCACCAATCGCCATCTAGTTGCTAATCATTTAGATTTTTGGTTACTGAAATGCACAGTTTTACAGTTTTAAAGTTTAGTTTGGGATTTTCCACAGCAGCTTACTTGTACATAGAGGTATTCAAACGCAACAGCATCCCGACGGAGCAGCTCCACTGGGTCCCTCGGCATGAAGCTTATTCTAAAGAAACACTTCATCCTGTTAGAACCAGGCCTCTGGGTAACCTGGGTTAGACAGAAAAATGAAAAGGCATGAAGTGATGAGGGTAAAAAAAACTATAATAGGTTTGCAGAATATTAGGCATCATTATGAATTCTATTTATTGGCTCAGTTTGAAGGCTTTATTAGCTTTGTCAAAGATGAACGACCCTTAAACTTTAGTTAAACAGAGCATTGCTCCTGAATTGTGTGGCATGAATATTAAAACTGTCCTCTTGTGATCCAGCCACCTCATTAGAAAGTAGCGGTCACTTGGAATTGGCATGTGCCATGTGCTGTTTGTGTGTGCGGCAGCGTAACAGAGGGAGAGGTGTAATGTGAACTGTCACCCCTGCTGTGTCTCCGCTGATAAATGGCACCCGGGTCTAAGTACCGTTTGAATACTGAGCAGCAAAGTGTGTGTCTTTGGGTGTGTGTTTGCAAGACCTGCAACCATGTGCAAGATGGAAAAAGAAACGTCTCAGACCTGAGTAAGCATCTCCTGCTCATGCAGGAGAAGCAGTTTGCTTCCAGAACCTTCAGTTCTCTCCTCCAACACTAGAGAGAAGTGCTCGATGCAGCGGATGGACAGCTTCTCCTGCAGGGTCAGAATCACCTCCTGGTATAAAAGGGAGAATAGGATATATATAAAATAGACAAAATAAATAAAAGGAAATCAAATAGCTATTAAATAAAGAAATATTCAAAAGTGAAAATAGTAAAGAGACAAGGAAAACCAACATAAAAATAAAAAGCTCAAGAAAAAAACTAAAGTAAATAAAAATTAAAGGCATAAAATATAAAAATTACATAAATGTTAAACAAAGTAAAAATTAGAGACTGTGGGAATTATTCTTTTTTACATTAAATCAATTTATTATTTTTTGTTAATAGACTACTAAGATAAAAGTCAGACATAGAGTACAACATCAAAGGCAAAAATAATTTCATATTGGCAAAGCCTTTCTAAATATTCCATGTAAAAGAAACTGAGCCAAAATCAACAAAACATACACACGAAAAAAAAAAAAAAGGAAATAATTCAGGGCCTTTTTTTTTTCCTTTTCCAAATAAAAAACATAATATACCCTATATGCACAAAAATAGATTTGTTTTGGGTTAGCTTAAAGTTTTTATGTATAATATTCAATCAGAGAATTCTTCAGAAAAAATGCTAATATCTGTAAAATTATTTAATAATGTATTCAACGGCTAAATAAACATGAAGAAAAGCCTACTGAGAGGTTATGACATGCACAGTAGCTCCAGACTAGATATATGTTGTTGTTTTTGTGCTGATTTTTGCTGTGGCATTTAAAACTAACGGTTCATAGAATGAAAATAAAATACACTGTTGTAATTACAAAGAAAGATAATTCTGCTAGTTCACAATAGAAAACTCAATGCAAATTCTGAACTTGCTAAGGTTATAAAAAAGTAACATGATTATTTATGACCATTAAAAGCATTACATCGATATAGATTTTTTTGCTTTGCTCTCTTTTCCAATTAAACTGTAAAAAGATTCTCTATTTTTATTTCCATAATAAAAATCATATATAGATTTAGAGGTATGTTTTCCTTTTTTAAATACAGCAAGCAAACCTTTTGCTTCAGATTTACAACAGTTATAAATAGGAACTCTGGAAATAAACAATGGTTTGATACACATGTTTTATACAACATTCATTTATATCTTTTTGTCACCAGAAAAAGTATTTCATACCAAAAATAAGGGAATATACTTCTAAAAGAACCCTCTTCTGGGTGAGTTTATTGGCAGAAGCTGCAGCTAATTTTGCCCCAGAGACACAGAGGAAGCACATACCTTGATGGAGGTACTGCTGTCGAATCGAAAAGACTTTGTCTGCCCGTTTTCCAGGTAGACCTTCAGGACATTTGGCATGAATAGTAAAGAGTTATCCTTCACCGGATTCTGCAAAGAAGGAATGTCAACACTGTCTTTCATTTGTACATATGAAGCCCCTTTTATATGTGAAAAGAATTCATTTTGTGATTGTCTTATCTATTTTGCATGCAGCGAACTGTCCGTCTTAAGCAGAAACCATCTGGCATTGCCTATATAGGTCAAACATAAGCATGTGTTTATATGTGTGCGTGTGCGTGCAGTGGGACTGACCGGGACCTGGCCGTTTATAATGACCTCCTCAGCAAAGCGCACTTTGACCGGATTGGACTTCAGCATGGCTTTTTTGGCTGCACTGATGAACGCTGATTTAGGAGACTAAGAGGCAGTCGTCCAAAAAGAGACACAGAAAAAAAAGGATCAAGAGAAGCATTGACAAACAAATGAAGTCTGAGAAAAATCACAGGCTGCCTTAACTTTAATATTTCCAATAAATAATATCTTTTTTTTATACATTTCACTCAACAACTGATTTGATGTATTTTTTTTTTTTTTTGTAGAAACCAGAAAAAAATAGAGGGTGGGTGAAAAGCAAAACAGCAACAAAAATAATTTGAGAAGCCCATATAAATTAACAGATGACAATAGTATGTTAAGTCCATTTTCTGTATGATTTTCAACAGTGACTCCAAAATCAGATATTTTATTGATCAGTGAGACACCATATCTAAGCACTAAAATCTTCCTCTGATAGAAAGACTGTTTGCAGTGCAAAAGTGTGAAAAGAACACTGTAAGTTAAATAGCTATTCAAAATCATGAAAATAAAAGTTTTTGCCTCTTTGAGTTAGTATAGTTGTAAACCGGGAGGTGTTTGCATTTAATTCATGGTACACACCAGTAGGAGAGAGCCTGAATTTTAGCAGACAACAGGAATGAACTCCTGTTGATAATGAAAAATTAATGGATTTGAAGTCTCAATGCAGTTTCTATGGCAGGGTCTTCAATTTTTCACATTCAGAGAGCCATTTCACCCTGAGTCCCGCTAAGTAAAAGTTGTTAAAGCCACAAAATACTACATGACATATTATTTTGTTGAATGTCTGCCATAGGAAATCAGTTGCCATCCTAAAAAAACAACATTTTACTTATTTTTAGCTTTTAAAATATGGAAAAAATAAAACATAATAAATATGAAGCATGGATTTTTGTTATATAGGATTATTATTTGATATAAACAATGATAATTAAAAAATCATTTAATAAGATACTGTATTTCTGGCTCTTTTAATTTAATAATGTTGTTAAAATTCAATTGACATATTTTTCTAAAAACCACTAAAGCTTCTAAGACTGGTATTTGTTATTATAGTACATTATTTTTTCTTTTTTTTATAATTTTTAGCCGTTAATAAGAGACCCCTGCTCAATGGAATACTGATGCTGTGATACAAACCCTTTTATTTGCTAATATAAGTTGCTATGGAGAATTTCCGACATCTATTAGGAAGTTTGTAAAACTGGGTCAGCCTTTCTGGTCCTTTGGACTGGTTTAAATCCTGCCTGAAGGAAAATGACTTATTTGTGTAACTAGGGAACTTTAAATCAAAGACCAGAAAAATCATATCTGGGGTTCCGCTAGGCTCAATTCTGGGGCCCCTCACATAAAGGCAGTTAAAAAGTCAGCCTTTTATCACTTGAACAAGGTTTCCAAGATTAAAGGGCCAATGTCCAAGCAGGATCTAGAAAAACTAATTCATGCATTTGTTTTTAGTAGAATTGATTACTGTCACAGTGTCTTCAAAGGTTTGCTTAAAAAAAGTCCATCAAGCAGCTGCAGGTGATCAAAAACTCTGCTGTCCGTCTAACTACAACTAAGAAAGCATCAATTCGTTTCTGAAGTCCTTCCACTGGCTCCCTGTAGCTCAGAGATTTTGACAAAGATTGTAGCTCAGATTTTAAAATCCTTCTGTTAGTCTATAAATCACTGAATGGATCAGCACCTCAATACACAACACATTTGTTGTCAGTGTATCAACCTCCCAGACCTCTCAGGTCTTCTAGGTCAAGTCTAGAACTAGAACCAAACATGGAGATTCATTAGTTTAGAGCTGTTGAAGTTACTGAAATGTCAACTGAAGTATTATTAAATATTTGATCTTATTACCTGCTTTAAAATTGTTTTATCAGTATTTGCTTCTATTCTGCTTTTATTTTACTTCCATTTATTGTTTTTAATTCATGTAAAGCACGTTGAATCGTCTTTGTTCTGAATTGTGCTATATGAATAAACTTCCCTTGCCTTTTCCAAAATAGTTAAACGTGTTTATATAAATACTGCTCTCTCATTCATACAACATTATACTGGTCTCTCATATACTGTAAATGGCTAACAGCTCAAGGGTGGGAAAACATATTTTTTTATAGCTTTTTAAACCTTTTATACATTTGTAGGACATTTTCAATGCTTACAGGCTGCTACATCCTTCACAATAAACAGACTTTTTTGTTGTTGTTCTCAAAGTGGCAAGAACAAGACAAACATTTATTTTGAATGTGAATATCCACAATTCACAAGGTGCTAGGCTGTCAAAGGCTGCCCCATGAACACAGCCCTGAAGATCGATTGACAGTACGCTATTTGGGACTGCAAACACCAGGAGTGAGCTGTGACACAGGGTGGGACTGTCCCACTTGGATAAATTATAGAGGAAACGCTGCAAGTGAGCAGAAGTGGCATGTTCAACCACCAGAGTTGACTACGATTACAGATATGAGAGAGATATGTGAGAACTTTTTTGATTTTGCAAACTAAACAAACCCATCTAAATCCTTTCCAGCAGCTGGAAACCCTGGAGAAAACAAAGTTTTTCCCAGGTGTGAAGAACATGCAGCAATGCCTATGGGCCCTATAGATGCCCTCCAAGACGGCACTGATGAGACACAATCAGTACGTAGCAGCCTTTAAAAAGCACCACAGCTTGAGCTATATCTCTTTCAAATATTCAGTTTCTAGGAACTGTTACCTAAGCATGCTGATGGAGTTTAAATTTTGCAATGGTTTTATAGACAGAAGCACGCCATTAATAGTATTAGCACAAAGTTCAGTTTTTGACTTTTAAAAACCATATTAAACCCTCATCTCAAGGTCGCTTGAAAGTTGCTATAAATTGCTTTTGCAGGGAGCTTTTTGTCCCCGTAAATTAAAGGTTCCTGTCAAACAGAGGCTAACCCTTACATAAAAGCCTTTTCTGCAGGGCACCGGAAACCTTTCCGCTCCACCTCTGATAAAATTTCCAATGGAAATTTAAGGATTGTTAAAAAAATGGGCCTCTGTTAAAGGTTTACAAGGTTTGCATCATCTAATGTAGATACCACTCCTGGCGTCTTTATTCAGCATAAATTCATTTTTATTAGTTCTGGATACTCAAGTTAAATGCTTGTCCAAAAGGGGCAAGAAAAAAAGAAATCACACCTTTACATCTTGAAATAATAGGCTAAAAATGTCAAGGCACTCTGCTAGGTTGGTATATTCATGACCCGTTAGAAATAATTTTAAACTGATTATTGACAAAAGAAATTCAGGCTGGCAAGAGCTATAAAATTAATGAGATTTAATAATCATTAATTCAACCCTCTAATATTTATCTGCCTTATATTTAAATCACAGACTTACACTAATTCAACATAGGTTACATGTGTTGTTTTTAGTATGTTTCACTCAGGAAGTTTATTGATCCTACCGTGATTAAGGATAGATAGGAATCATATCTTGAGAAACACAAATGTGCAAAATAATCTATGCTTAGGAATCGGAGAAAGTATATAATTGAAAAAAAAAAAGGAAGTTGACATGATTATAACTTTAAGAACTGCTATTGATTATTTACAGGGTGAACAAGTTTGTCCCTTTGCAGGTTTAGCTTTAATGTTTTGGATAAATCCTTGTTTTAAATATCATATCATTTCTATAAATGCAGATTTCAAATGATGAGTTTTTTTTTAAATTATTAATCTCCTTAAAAGTGAATAAAAAACTATCCAAAATGAATTGTGCCATCACCTTTACAGTATAGGAGGTTATTTTTTCACAAAAGTAATGGGGCTTGGATTCTCTTCTCCCCTTTATAAATACTCTTCTCACTTGAAAATGAATTTTATATTTGGATTGTGCTTGTTTAATGATACAATACATGTAAAGGGGATTAAAAAAAGCAACAAAAAAAAAAGGTAATCTATAATGGGATGTACAGAGAAATGCATTTCCAATTTGTCTGAAATGTTAAGCGTGTGGAGTGTTTTAAAAGTAATGGACTTTACTGCATAACAGAAAGCAGTTAATTTCTTTTCCCGACATACAAAATGTAAAGTGAAAATAATTTCGCATTCATATAAGCCTTTACATAAAAACAGAACAAGTCAGCAAATACTAAACAATGAAGCTCTGGGCCACAAATAATTGAGGTATATTGCAAACAGGCTTCAATTGTAGATGGCTTTATGAACTCCCTTGCATATGTTTTGAGTTAAGAGTAAAGAAAAGTTATCAAAGTGCATTGCAAGTACTTATTTGTTCAGGTAAAAAAAACAAAAAAACATCATTTATTAAAGCATCAGTTACTGTAAGAGAAGATGATAAATCCTGTATGTCTACTCACTGGATATGGTTGAACAACAGTCAGCATAATGGACTCTTTGCAGCTCCTGCAACAAGCAGACGGTGAAACCAGAGAGTCAATTAAATCACGACAAAACAATCACATAGAAACGTCGACAGCCGACATACAGGAAGAATATGATTAGCTTAGGCGAGGTGGAATGAAAGCCTCTGGCACCGGCCGAACACATGCGGCTCAAACCCGGAGCTTTCAACCACAAACTCATTAATCTCTCATTTTGATTCGAAAAACAAAAAGGCAGAGATGATTTTGTGGAGCAGCATTTGAGTCAGAGTAACCGGAGCATGAGCGCACCAAAAGATGCTTCTTGACGTTTTCTCTCTTGACAAAAACTGCATTAAAGTTAAAGCAGAAGGGTGGAAATTGTTGCTAACACACTGCAAGAACCTCACTGGAGTGATACTAATAAGGATTTCAACAACAACTAAATGATTACAAATTTAATCAGATACTGCAGTACTAATTGAATGTAATTCAGTTATATAGTGCAAATTTTTAAGAAAATTAGGTCAAATTTAATCTACTATTCAGTCTTCTTGTCAGATTTAGATCCAATTATATGCAGGCAATGAAACAAAGCCAGTTTGCTGTTTGTATCACTCAGGAAAATTAGCTTACTGCATAAAGTTAATGATTTTTACAGAATTTCTTCATTCTCAGTAAACACGTGGGTATAGTGGAAAGACCAATCCCCTTTAAACAGGAAGTCTCTAGAACCAGAGTCAACACAAGCACTTATTTGTTGGAGAAAATATACATAAAAAACAAACACACAAACACCCTGTAGGAGATTGAAAAAGAAAAGCAAGCAGTCAAATATCAAAAAACTTAATTCAAACAGAGATACAACAATAGACACATACAAACGTAAACAAAGCATTAGGTTTGTCAGTGTCTCCTTTCACTGAAGAGACAAAGGCAAACAAATTAACCAAGTTGGACATCAATGCATTAAATATAAACATATAGTTGAGTAAATTAATATCATTTTCAATGAATCCATTTAGGGTAGGCTCAGCAAAGAACAACTGTCCTGATACAGGCGTACCTTTAGTAAAAATAATAACTGAAATAAAATAACTGCAGTTCTTCAAAATAGAGTGCAAATGGAAAGTAATATGAGAGAAAAAAGTTGGACTTAAATGACATAAAACTGACTGCTGACATAAAACTAAAGCCTCTCCTAAAAGTATTCTAAAAGAGAAATAGATGATCTCAAATAGATGGAGCTTAAATCACCTCAGCCACACCTTTAAAATAAGTGTCTGCAAACCAAAAATGGACTAAAAGAAAACAAGTAATCATTTCTTCACACTTTTCTTAGAATTAACTGTTGCAAACTTCTCAAGGATGTATATCCAATCTGACATTTGACTGCAAAGCACGCTTAAGAAGAATGCGACTCGTAATACCAACTGAACAGGGAGAGTTGTTCTAGGCATAGTTGGGAAATATACATCTCAACAAACCTGGAGTATATTGGAAACAGGCCTGAGTGGAGATTAAAATGTATGAACAAAAGCAGAGAATTCAATGAGAAAGACACCTCAGGAGGATAGAGACGTTCAGTCAAACATATTAAAGACTTTGAAGCTCACTAGAAAACAATGAATAAATCTAACATTTGGCATTCCGCTGTTCAGTATGGGAAACTCAGCGTCATTCGAATATTTATGTCCAAAAACCAGACTGTGCATCTACCTGACGAGATCGATGACTCGCTCCCTGGGGGCTGAGCTGACTGGCTCATCGTTGATCATGATAATCTCATCGCCTGGCAGCAGCTTCCCCTCAGATGGACCACCTGCACGCAGAAAAACATTGACTGAATAAAGTTCTCCACTGGAGAGATTCATGATTAAATGAACTAACTAGGCAGTGTGCACATAGCGCTGTTGCAGTATAGATCTTAATCCTTGCACATGTTTATCTCCTGACACATATAATAGGTGGGAGCAGCTGGATTGTCTTTGTTGACCAGGCTCTCTGAATAGGATTGTCACTAGTTCAGCAGCCTGCTTGGAATTCAGCTTTGATTGATTACTGAGAAGAGGGTGCTTGCGTGTTAGTTTACGCAGCCGACCTAGCTGATGACAGATGCCAGCAGTTTTGCAATCAACCAACATGCTTACAGGAAGAAAAGAGACCCTAAACAATCATTTGGGTTAATGTAACATTTTGCTTGTGACTGTAAAAGCATTTAGTCTTCACAATGGTGAAAGTCACAACTGGTTCCTGTTCAGTGGAGATTCATTTCACGCCATCCTGGGCTGGGAAAGGGGAAACAGGGATTGGGGGTATGTCTGGGTTAGGGAACTGGTGCCCAAGGAGGGAGTCATGCTGTCCCTAACATATTCCTTCCTCCATCATCTGCTAGGGTAACCGGGCAGGGGTAAACTCCTAGCACTGTTCTAGGAGGTCATCTAGAACCTCCGGATATTATTTAAAAAAGAAGAATTCTTCATAAAGTGAAGAACATTTTGGACAACTGTGAGTATCCTCTTCAGAAGATTTTTAAACAACAAAGAGTCTTAATTTAGAGGCTTGTCCTGATCCGGTGCAAGACAGACACTGCAGAACATCCTTACTGCCTACAACTATCAACAACTACAACAACTGGTTAAATAAAACTGAGTTATTGTAACATTTAATTTCCCATGGGGAAAAGTATTTTTGAATTGAATTGAATATTCAACATGGCACATGGGTCTTAGGTTTGGGAAGATAATAGTCCCTTCTCTGGTATGCTTTGCTCCATCCTTCACCTCAATGTGAAATGAGCTGGAAACACTTTGGGCTTTGGAGTTGGAGAATGGAAGACTATAGCCCCATTTACACTACCCTTTTGAAACTGTGCCGAGATCGGCCCGAGCACGCTAACCTAGATAAGTGCTGACTGTAAATGGCAGGCACAACTGAGCCGGACCACGCCAGACACAACCAAATGTTAGCAAGTCTTGTTGGTCCTGGGTCCTTGGGGCTAGTTTCTAGGCTTAGCCATGGCTGTTGGGGCTGGATTGTGTTCAGTATCCTGTGTCTCAAACCTTTGGCATGTAGATTGCAGGTGAAAATGAGGAGAGAACTCTAGATGCTTCCCTGCCAAATGCTGAAACATCCAAAACTGGCTCCTCCTGGCCGCCTCCAGCTTCCACACCTTCTCCAGCATCGTCTGTCGCTGCTAAACCTGCCAGCGGCACCACTGCTGCTTCAGCCACTTCTGCCTCTTCAAACCAGGGGGCTACCACCCTCACAGGATCGCCATTATCGCCCTCTTCCTCCCCTGAGCCAGGAGAAGAGGGGGCTTCGGGGGCTGGAGGCAGTAGTAGCAGCTCAACAACAACTGCTGCTTACCTTATCAAGGCTGCACTTTAGAAAAGGAAATTGTCTAGAGAGCTGTTCTAAACGAAATTTCTTTTTGTTAAACACTTGTGTATACAAACCAATCTGTCTAACTCTAAGTCTATATTGCTGCTTTGTTAGCGACCTGCTTCTTTTTGTGGCCTTATGGCTGCTCTGTAATAACTGTTGTCTTTTGGAGCTGCCATGTAAGCCAGGGATTGCAGGCCTTCTACAGTCCTTGCCACAATTAGAAATGTACACTTCCAAGTGATGAACTTACGTACACATATTCAATAAAAAAATGCTTCTTTCGATACAAACAACCGCATGCCCACATGCATACACAAAGAGTTTATCATTATTTCAATGTGGCCCACCTACTGTGATGCTTAATTGAATCTGGATTTAAGAAAGTAAATCAGGAAATTCTCAAGATATTTTTCATAGAGCCAAACTGCCTGGGCATATTTAGACAACCTGCTATTACTTTTGCTATCTGAAATGCTATAATAGGACAAACAAAGGAGGCATCTTTTTGCAGATGGGGGCTTTTTTTTTTATATGGGACTAGAAATTACTAAGAATTCTTGGAAGATTCCTCTCTCTGCTACACCTGGGAATAACATTTGTACTTTTTTCTCTTTTATGTTTTTAGTTAAGAAAACCTTTCATTCAAACACGGTTTGTAAAAAAAGGCATTTTATATTCAACCATTTGCTGGAGGCTATAAACAAAACCCAGTTGAACCGATTTCCTTTTGAAGTCACATAGTAAATGGAGTCTAACTATTTGTAATTTAATCTTGGTGTAAATTCAGCTGCTCTGCAAAGGCCTTTGAGGTTTGTTAGAGAGCATTAGAAAACAAGCAGCATCATAAAGGCCAAGGAACACAGCAGATAGGTCAGAGATAAAGATGTAGAGAAGTTTAAAGCAGGGTTAAGTCATAAAACATTCACCCAAGCTTTGATTATCCAGCAAACCGTAAGACCTTGATTTTCACCAAAGCCAGCAGGTTCAAAAAGCCAACAATTTAAGATTCTACAAATGATATTTCATTTTTCTAAAAGTAGGATTTTACACTGACCAGGTGTGACAGAACGGACCACCACAGGTTTCTCACTGCCAGCCACGAAGCCAAAGCCCAGGACCGGATCCCTTCTCATCTCCACCAGACGAGGAGCGGGAGGGAGACCATCGAGGTGGACCTCCTCCAGGGAGCTGCTCTGGGACCCTTGGCTAAAAAAAACAAAGCAGGAGGAAACAACCGAAAACATTTTCATAAGACAACTAAGCAACTGCAGACATTTTGCTTAACCCTCTACAGCATAAGTGAAATGAGTCAGCAGACGTTTTCCCTTCCAAAAGACATTGTGGTTAATGGACAAGATGGTCGGCGTCAGAATATAAACTCTGCAGCTGGTTAAGGGCGGTTCCATGACAGTATACGAATAAGTGCACATTAGAGAAAGATTAATGAATTCATCTCCACAAAAGGAGTAAGTTTAACTCAAAAAGATGTTAATAAAATTACAATTTAGGACTGGAGCATTTAAATTAACCATTCATAAATCACATCTTTGGCTCACATGCAGAGAACTTCTTAAGCCTAAAGGCCATGCTGCTTTCATAAAACCCTCAGATTTGTGAACTTACACCATTTTAGCTCTTGGAGACATATATAGCTCTGAAAAGAGGGGCAACTAAAAATTTACTGAAAACTCAATCATGTCCTAATAACTCCTTTTCAAACTCATATATAATATCTATTAGATGCTGTATTTCATTCTCTGTAAAGGACTTTTTATTTAAATTAAAACTGCTCTTAATCCTATTGCTAATTTGCAAACTTGAGCAAAACAATTGCAGTTGCAGTTGTTGGATTTTTGGACCAAGCAGTGTTAATATGGCACATTTAAAGAAGGTTTTTTTTTTAATCCAGCCACTTTCCTGCTCGGTTTTTCTTCACCTTATAGGGGATTGTTACTACTAATTTTGGACACACTTAAGAAGAAAATGTTAAAAACTTTTTGTGCTTGTTGATCATAGAGCTTTACAAGTCACAAATACGGGTCACTCTGTTGTTTCAAAATCCCTTTTTTTTTTTTAAACAATAAAAAATGCAACATAAGTTTTATCTCGCTTCCTTGTTAACCCTCTTATCAAGGGCATTTTTTATCTTAGTGGATCTCAAAAACCCTGAAGCAGTTCGTTTTTCAGTTCAATGCGTAAGGAGAATAAAGCAATAAAAGTGATGCATGGCCAGAGAAAGCAATTGAGGTATTTCAGGCTTAACAAAAGTGTCTGCCTTCTATTTTTGTAATTTTGTTGCTATATGCTGCCATTTGTCTTTGGTGCAACATTAAAATGAGTTCATTCAGATAAAGATTCACATTTTCTTGTTCCTTTTGCGAATTGCAAGTCATTGCAGTCACCTTTGACGAAATTACAAAAATGCAAATGCATTATTTAATTGCACATTTGGTCCAGAGCCGGAAATGTCTTTCTGGAAGGATACTAAGCCTGCAGAATCTCTGATACTGAACGGAGGGATACACAGTTTAAGTAGAAGCAACTCATTCTCTTGGAGCCTCTAAATTATGTCCCTCCTCCTACTTTTTTATGTTTAGAAACCTCCCATGTCAGTCCTCAACTTTGGCGTTGTGAGCTTTTATTTTATGAGTAAAACCAAGTGATTATAATAACTAACTAAATGTGTACTTATGATCGAAACATGGTCCAAGGTCACAACATGCTGCTCTCATTTGTTCATCTCTGCTGCAAAGAGGCATGTCTCAGTTAGCCATGCTTGCTCATCTTCTACGTCAGGGCCAGTGGGGTTTAATCTAACTACAGGACAGAATTAAGATAACAAGGTTAGTTTCTGGGTAAAGAACAAACTCAAGAGATCAAGTCTTATTTATAGTGGGTTTGAACAGGCACACCCACTCTGTTAGTCTTCCATATCATCAATAGAAAAACAGCAAACAGCAAACTGTCAAAATAAGTTGACTAGAAACAATCGTTTATGATTAGAGTCAGATTTAAACTGATGTACGATCTGCAACATACTGAACAGCAGTATGGGGGTCCGAAAGGGAACAGTGCTGGCACCGTTCCTCTTCATCCTTTACACTGCAGACTTCTCCATTAACTTCTCCACGCTGCCACCTCCTGAAGTTCTCTGACCATTCTGCCATAGTTGGCCTCCAAACAGGTGGGGAAGACTCAGAATACAGACAGTGCACCAGAACTTCCTGGTCTGGTGCCAGCAGAACCACCTGCTGATTAATGCAGGGAAAACCAAGGAGCTAGTGGTGGACTTTCACAGAAGCAGATCCACCCAACTGACACCGGTAAACATCCAGGCAATGAACAATGAAATAGTGGACTTTTATAAGTAACTAACTGGACTGGACTCACAACAAATGAGACTGAGGTCTTTTGGAGTACAGGGGGAGCTCCTAAAGACCTTCTATGACTCTGTTGTGGCATCAGCCATCTTCTATGGAGCTGTCTGCTGGAGCAGTGGCTTATCTTTAGCTGAGAGTAAGTGGCTGGATAAGCTGATCAGGAAGGCCAGCTCTGTGATTGGATGCCTTCTGGACTCAGTGCAGGAGGTGGGAAACAAAAGGAGGGGTTGGATAATTTCTCCCACCCCACGCATGAAGCTGCTGCAGAACTGGAGAGCTCCTTCAGTGACAGACTGCTGCACCCTAAATGCACCAGGGAGCGTTATCACAGATCCTTCCCCCCAGCAGCTGGAAGACTTTATAACCACCACTGTTCCCAACAACCTCAATAAGTTTATACATTCATGCTGGTTTTGCACAGTTTCTACCTTAGCCTGTTAAATAACATGCTGCTGTCATTTTGCACATCTCTGATGTTGCTGCTATTTTCAAATATCCAATACTGTAAAAGTAACTTTAGCTGTATATTGGTTATTTATTCTCCAGGTACAAAGTTTTTATATTGTAAAAACACTTTACAGTACAGTAGTTTATTTGATCATGTTATTCTTATACATTTTTCTAAGGTCCACATTTGTGTGACAATTTTTTCTACAATCTTAGTGCTGCTGTAAACAACAGAATTTGCCCATTGTGGGACAATAAAGGGATTTCTATTCTATTCCATTCCATTCTATTCTATTCTATTCTATTCTATAAAACACTTCAGGATAACATAAGTCCATCAGGATTAATTTCAGTCCAGAACAATCCGGAGAAAGTCATAAAATACGCTTACAGTGTTTAGTTAGTCTATGCCAGGCTGTCTAACACCTTATTTAACTCTACCAATGGTGTTTCTCTAATAAAGGCACACTGGGTCAGCCCATCCCCTCTACAGCTTCCCACAAGACCAAATACACACTTTCTTCCAAAACAAAAAGCGTGTTCTGTAACCAGCATTCACCCTTTCACAGCTTCATCGAAATAACGGCTCAAACCCCCAAATTATGACACAGAACCAAAGAGATAGACCAGTCTGATTTAGATTTCTATAGTTTTATTAAGAAGACACAACATAAAAGTTTTCCTGTTTTTGTTTTGATCATTTTTGCCAAATGTTATGTAAAAGTGTATGCCACTCTGGGCCGGTATTAAAAACCACCACTAGACTGTGTGGACAACAAGGTCCTATATCTTCTATCAGGTGTAATGGGATCCGCCCCGACGATTTTGATTGGTTGTTAAAGCGTTTTGCTACGGTCCACGGTGCTGTTGATGAGAAACCCGTCCAAAGCTTTGTTATAATGAGGGTTGCAAACATGCCCCTTTATTTCATATAGTTCATAAGCCTTCAACAGGATCAAACCATAAAGTTACGGTAATCATTCTCAGTATAAAAATGATGTTATTCAGTTGATCAGCTGTTTGACATACATGGAGGGTTTAAATAAATATGTATGATGTACACTGTAGCTTGTTTTGATTAAACTTTGATGCTGAGAGTTAAATTTCAGGTACCGGTATGTAAACCTGAGCTGTGTCGAAAAAGAAAAGCTATTGGCTTTTGGCCGACTGCTTCTGCCTTTTAAAACACTGGATGTACTGTATATAATAATGCGTTACGCAGGTTACACATTTCCTACAGCCTACAGGTGAAAGATCATGCAGCCAGACTAGTCTCCTGAAATCAGTGAGATAGTCTTTGACTACAAGATGAACACAACCCCACCTCTCAACTATGAATATATACTATTTAATCTGAATTCATCTTATTATTGTTGTATATTTCTAAAATGTACCAAGATGCTCTTCCTCTTCAACATGCAAATTGCTCTATTCTTATCTATTCTCACCCAATTCCCATATAACTATTTATTTGAAATGATATATTTCTAAAGTTTTAATGTCAACTGTATGTTTGCTTGTCTGTGTGTAGCACATTATCACCAAATCCAGTTGTACATGTTAAACACATGGTGATGAAGCTTTTTCTGATTTAGAAACACTGTAAGTAGTTTTTAGATCTTATATTTAATTATGAAAAATAATGTTTAGAATGGTAATGATGAAAATATGAATAATTCTGTGAAATTTAAAAAAAAAAATGCTATGGGAATACACCTGGTGCTATGTTAAGAAAATATGTGGCACAAAAAGATGGAAAGGGCAAGAAATAGTTAACAACTGTTTTTATTCTATATTTTAAATGTTTTGGGTTTTTTTTATTTGGGACTTAAGGACTAGAGGAAAACAAAATGCAAAAATATATTTTAACAACTGTTTTTATTATATATTTCTTAAAACGTTAGTTTACTTTAAATGTTTTGTTTTTTTTCGCAAAAGTTCTGCCCGTCAACATCTTAGGTCCAGTTGATATTTACAGTTATATTTCAGAGGACTTAAGGACTAGAGGAAAACAAAATGCAAAAAGACTTTTTAGTTTCGTGCATATGTATTTGGCTGTGAATAACTGAAAGAAAAAGTCACATACTGCATGTTTTAACCAACTGCAGCATGGCATTACATGGTTTTTATGGACAATTTATTTGTACTGTTTCAAATAAATAATATGTAACATGAAGTCGAATACATGCATTATTGCCTATTTTTGGCCTATCTAAACCTACTGGTACTTTAACCTACTAAGATCTCTTTCACATTGGGTGAAAACTGTTGTTTGTTTGAAAATAATTTGATGTAGCCTCGCACCACAATTCAATAATAGAATGTTTTCCATTCAGCACAAGGAGTTGATGGAGATGAAAAACTAAATGTTTTTTTTTATAGTAAGATTTCCACTGAAAAAATAAAACTTACTACAATAAAAAAACATGGAAAAAATAAAAATATGCCTCCTTTTTTAGCTTTAGTTTCTCCATGAACAAGACACCAAATATTAAGTCAATGTTACGTGAAAGCAGACTTGATTATGCCCATTCATTAAACTTTCATAAATCAAGCAGGAATTTTTTGCTTGTGTAGAGAAGTTATAGAGACCAATATTCTAATCCTGATGCTGCGAATATAATCTAGTTGCTTGTTGTCAAAAAAAAAACTACAACACATTTATTAGCACTTCTATTGTTGGGAATGACAACAAGACCCCTGCTACAACCTAAATTTTCCAATATTTATCTTTAGCATAAAAGCAATCACTTATAATTTAATTCAGTTTATTTATACAGCGCCAATTCACTACATACAGTATGTCATCCCAAGGTACTTTATAGAGACAATTCAATCAGATCATACAGGCAGATTTGAAATCTAGATTATTAATCCTTCCGGTGTTTTTGTTCAATAGGTTTTTATAAAGAGTGATAATTTTGGAAACCTCTTAAATTGGATAGCATTATGCTTCTGCTATGCTATCCTACCTTAGACAGTCGCTTTAATGTATTTTCCAAAAACTGCCATCTTGAACAATTGACATTTTTTTACATGTCAGCAGCACATTTCCATCATTGGACATACTGATCCTTAGCCTGTATGCTAAAATATCAAACTAATTTATATATACTGGTCTCTATCAGTTCACTTCCTTATGTCTTAATGTGGTTAAAAAAATGTTTGTTTTCCATATAAGGTCCACCCTCAAACAGTGATACCCAACCTGACTTTCAACACATTTGGAATAAATTTAAAGCAAAAGTAATGTGCTTCTTCTGGTGGATTCTTTAAGGGCTTCAGTATAAAAAAGGAGGCCATGTGTAAATTAAAATCATGTTGGTCAATGTGTTAATAGGATGAGGCGTACTTGGTTAAGAAGTCCCGGCCATCCCTGGTGTTGCTCATGCTGTCCCAGCTGTATGGGGGCCCCTGCAGACCTCCCCAGGAGCCTGGACCGGGAGGCGGCCAGCCTGATGTCTTATTCTTGTGGCTAAAGGAAGGGACACAGAAATATAGGGGATTTCTATAAACAACACCTGACAACAAACTAAGATAAATGAATTGAAACATGCTTAATGATGGTATAAAATATACAGAAACTATTTCTACTTTGACATTTAACAGATCAGTGCTCCTACAAACTCTCCATTTAAAACCCCAATCATCTGACAACTGAAATTTCAGAGTATCATGTCTGGTCAATATCTGAACCTATTTGTTAAATATACTAACTTAAAAGGTTTTGGCAAACCTTATAGAATTGGTCTCTGAAGGTAAAAATTCAATTTTAGATCAAGTATAATAAAAAATCTTTGGCTTTAAAATGTCTTAAAGAGTCAAAATCTTTTGACATTTTTTTATGGCTTATTTGAAATACAGGTCTTAATGTTTATTTAATAAAACCAAAATAGTTCCCCATGCCTATTTTTTAATTGTTTGTCAATAAATACATTTTTTAGACAAAGTAGTTGTCTAGTTGTAGTTTGTTATCTTTGTATGGCTGAGGATAGGGCTGAAACCATTAATCGGATTAATCACGATTAATAGCTTATTAAAATAATCGTCAACTAATTTAGTAATCGATTTAAGGTTAACTGGAGTATAGAGACTCTAAGACATGAATTTAGCTGACACAGCAACATACTTAGAGCAGTAATTATATCAAGATTGTAAAAAAAATCTTTTTAGATTTTGCATTTAAGATTAAAAAACAAATTTTGTCTGTCCATATGCTCTGCCCAGAAGTTTCACCTGGTTTAATTTCGTAAAAAAGTTTTCTTTAAAAAAAAATCTTTTGGTATCTCATTATTAATAAATTAATCGAAAAAATAATAGGCAGAATAATGAAAGTGCAAAATAATCGTTAGTTGCAGCTTTACCTGAGGAATGGAGTTGCGTTAAAGCTGAGAAAACATTGAAACTCTGACACAAGAGATGCACAAATCATTGGGAAAAAGGAAAACTTTCTGTTCATAACCTAGATATCATACACAAAATCTCTCAATTTTTGACTTTATTATAAATCTACATGTATGCTTTGAAGCACTAATACTAATTACCCTTTAGTTATCAAAGAAACTGAAGTCAATTTTTAACCAAAGCAGATTATCCAATTTTTTTGTTTTTTATTTATTTATGTGATCTAAATAAAAATCTAACAATCAGTGTTGATTGGGAAAATGTTGATTGGTGCAATACAGGAAAGTAATAACCTTTTTTAAAATTAATTTCTTTTTTCACTTTTTTATGTGTGTTCTGTTTATCATTATAACACTGAAAATTTGTGTCCAAGAGCTCTTAAATAATCCAACAAATTTGCTTTCACAAGTACACAGTCATGGCTGTTGCCATAAAGTTCAATTTGGTTACTATGTATGAAACCCTTTTAAAAGGAATTTATTCAACAATATCAAATGACCCTGTAAAAGAATGACTGTTCCTAATACTGCTTTAAAATTGATTTGTCAGGTCAAATCAAGTTCTTTTTTATTGGATGTATTTAAAGAGGATTGGCTTAATTTTTTTTTTCTTTTTAAATATAATGCCAAAAACCTTTTGTTAATACCTTACGAAATGTTTTATATACTGTAGGAACCAAATAAGATCAAGCGGCAGGGAAAAGCCTAGTCGTAATAAATGAGGTACTTAAATCAATTGAGTCCCCTATAGGAACCTTAACTCCACCTTAAATCCTATGTTTTTGGACATCAAGAGGTAATATTCACACAGTTTTGGAATCAGCATACAATAAAGTACATTATAATTTAGATAACAGCATGATGAATAAAGACTGGAAAGGGGATTAACAAGCTTCAATAAAATTCCACACACTTCCTCCTTCTTTAAAACTGTGCTTGAACCTGTATTTTGTTGTGAACCTCATTTACAACAAAAACAAAGTTATATGAAAGGTATTTTATTAGAACGGCCCAACTCAGCTTCAATTATTGCTTTCTTGGATCTTTTAGATTTAGAAAACCTGCAGCTCTCAGTAAAGGTACTCTGTTACAGTCTGGTTAGATTGCACTCAGTCTAATTATTGTGACTCCTTGTCTCTCAGCGGGGCTTGCTGTGTGGTTTAGGTCTGCTTAGTGCAATCGACCGCGGTCAAACAACCGCTCATTGATTCCGTAGCTTAGCAATCAATGGCTGCAAATATGAATGCTGCTGTGGCAGCTGCAAACGAGAATTATACCACTGAAGCGACGGAAAGCAAAGTCCTGATGTGACAGCTGACTCCCTTATTGCAGATTATACTGACAATGTCGGTGACAGAAATGGAGAGGAGATGGATGAAAAAAGATCTCTTACAACAAATGAAAATGCATACTATAAATTTGCATCATCGACATAAGAATCCAGCTGGCTTATTCCCACATTGTGCTGTTGATGGGTTGGATGCATCTCTCTGTCATACCATTTCTTACAGTTTTTAGAAGATTAAGTCCTAAATCAAAACAAAATAGGGGTCCCCTCTTATTTCAAATCTGATAGAATAAAAAAAAATGAAAGAAATTTGGTATCGGTTGTGTAGAAAACAGTGATATTCCCATATTTCCATGAATGAAAAAACAAAAGTACAACGGCAAAAAAATCAGGACATTCCTGAAAGCACCACTGTTAGATTTGCTTCATTCGCTTGCAATCCCTAGATTTTTCTTGGAAGCTTAGGTTTCGTCTCATCTTAAGTGATCTGAATGAAAAAAAAAAGGAAAAAAAAGGGGGGGAGTGGGAGTGAACCGACAGATCCACCCTTTTTCCCGAATCCCAATCAGAGGCTCTGTGTTCCATATATCCAGTGTCCGTAGTGTTAACGGTGATACAGATCCCTTGTGTGCTGCCAGACATTCATCTGTATTTGTCATTGTGCTGCTGCTCTGAGCAGCTTTGGTCCAAACTGAACTAAACTGCTGCGGCCTTGCTTCCTTTATCCCATAATCCCTCTCATCACAGAGAAAACAAATCCACGCTCTCTGTGTGTGTGTGTATTTAGTGTGTGAGTCTATCCAGCTGTGTGTACTGTAACTATCTATGTGTATATATTCTGAAGAGAAAAATAAATATTTATTTTCTTTATCTTCAAATTTGTTGTGGGCAATGAATAGTGTTGCATTTGGATAACCCTGATTGAAATGTTGTTTTTTTTTTTTTATTGCAAAATTAATTAGGCAAAAAAAAAGAAAAAAAAAAACACAAACATGCTATGATGTTTATGCCAGCTCGCTGTAAAACTAGCTAACACAGTATATAGCTCATCTGGATTTCATGGAAAGACAATTGCATCAGGAAAAGACAGAAAATCGTTTTTTTTTTTCACCATCTGATGCAAAATCCAACTAAAACTTTTCCTTTTCCTGTTGGGATTAATATAATCTTCTATAACTGCGATGTGAACAGTCTTAAAATAAGAAATGGTGCATTCCATTACCCCCAAAACAAAAATTTGAGAGGTTTGAATCAAATAATCTCTGAGTTAACAACATTCTAGTCTCTTACTCTACAGATGCTCACATTCTCGATCACCACTACGGTCACTGTTACAACCATAACAATGGCAACAACAGATCCATGTAGTATTCGTTGAATACACTTTGTACTTAAAAATATAATCTGATAAAAAGAAGCAGTCCTTGCGAACATCTGATTTATTGCAACATGTCATGAATAAAGAACCGATAAAAAAAAGTAAAAGTAAAAACTTTAACAATTACTAATTCTAACTTTCAGAGACATTCCAGTTGAAATTTACCACTATAAGTTATCTGTGAAACCCAGAACAAGATGCCAGGACTTAAAATAATTTTTTTGGGATCTTTAAAAAGATGAGGTGATTTATTTATTCATTATTATTATTGTTGTCATTATTATTTTATTTTATTTTTTTTACGGTGTCCTGTCTGGCAATGTGGCAATAAGAATAATTGTCTTTATGGCAAAAAGAACCCAACAGATTTCACTTTCACAAGTGGAGCAGTACGGCTATCGCCATAGTGTTCCGCTTGAGTTATCCATATAAATTGCTTTATTATAATTATGCAGGGTGTTTTACAGATAATATGGGCACTGCAATGTAAGTAGAACAGGAAAGATAAAAACAGAAAAAAAGTAGAAAAGATAAAAAGAAAGAGGAGATAAAAGGGAGATAATGATAAGCTTGGAAAACTTCTGATTAGGTCTAAATCAGCTCGATAGATTCTCAACATTTGGAATAACTAGAAGCCCATGTGGAGTTCCTGATTTCTTTATAATCTTTAAAGCAAGGGCTAAAAACACAATGCTTCCATGCATGGATAACATAGCAAAATCAAAAGAAATCAGCAAAACAGGATGAGAAATGAGCTGGTGTGCTGAGAACATCATGCAATGTAAGGAGGTGCTGACGCCATATGGAGGATGATATCACTACAAAGGATAATTTTGCGCATATAGTAAAGTAAGATCTCAAGACGCTGGTGAGTGAAGTCACAAATTGGTTTCCCAAATGACTCAATGCATTACCCAAAATAATTTATAAATGAACAAAAGGAAAACAAGTTTTGAATTTTTTGAGTGGCTAATTTCAGTGGGCAGAGCTTAAACTTACCCAAACCTGAGTTGGTAGGTTGGTTTTTGTCATGTGATTGAATGGATGCTAAAATTTCAGATTTTTGGATTCAATCTTTACATGTAAAAAATTGTTTATACAAAACCATATTATTTGTAGTAACTTAGAAAATAAATCGTGTTCAATTGTTGAGATTAAGTTAATTAAATTTAATGCTGTTTTCAGTATTTAAATAAAAGGTCTACAGAAAGCGTGCCTAAAGCACTTTATTACTGTTAGGATCATTATCATTGATGATGTATGAATTTATTACACCTTAATATTAGCTGCCTGTTGCATGTGAGAACTGATGTTTTCCACAATAATTTATCTAATTAAAACTGGTCCTCTGTCCGGATATACAGTTAGAATCTTAATTCTGTACACGGCAAAGATTTGGGAATGGA